TAATGGAGGTACCTATTGATCACGATATGATTACTTTTATTTGCAGGATGTGGGACTTATAATCTTTTTTTAACAATTTTTAACAATTTTTAACAATCATGTATTATCATGTATTTTTACGTACGTAAGTGTAAATTATACTTCAACAGTCTGTAATACTTTTTGAGTATGTTAAATTACTTTAAAAAAATATCTTAGCTAGTCTTACATACGTCTGATAAAATAAATTTAATAATTTACTACTTTTCCTGTATCATACAAAGAAAGGCTAAAACTGATTTATTTATTTCTAATCACACTGTTAAAACATTATATTTTTATTGAAAATTTCATGAAGAAATCGATTACGGTTAAACAGTTCTATAGAAGAATTACCGGCGGCATATCTCAAAGATGTTTCGTAATGCTAGCGAGCGGGCGTACTAAGTCGGCGGCACTGGGCGATTGTTCAGAGATGTTTCCTGGAAGGCCCGAGAGCGGATCGACCCAATGCTTTAAATGCCTTAGGACCGCCATCCCACATCTGCCACTATGGTTTTTTTCTACAAAAAATATCCATCTGACTGACTCCCAACAGATTACTAACAGAAGCCAAATTGTTTTCTCGGAATTAAAAAGTAAAGATGAGAAAGAAATGTTTTGCGGCCAAGACTAATAATAAAAACTCTTTATTTTATACATTTTATCAAAATTGTAGCAAAATGATATTTTATTTAAAACCAGGTACTGGATACCGTAATAGATAAATGTATTTTTGGAGGTTTCTTATTTTATGTAATTGCTATATTTACATAACGTAACAAACCTTTTATTCCATCTCTTTAGTATTTTGAAAGAAAACTTTTTGTTTTATGGCTTTATGAAAATGCACACAACTTTACAAATAATTACCTGAAAAATGATCGCTGTTTGTGTTGTCTTGCGTAAAAAAAGCTAACGCCAAGTGACATACAAGTAACTTAGGCAATGAATAATGAGGATATATAGTGGTGACACTTGATACGAGTTGCACAAACGCTTGGGTAAGTAGGTACGTTTTGTTTGAAGATAGATTAGTGTTAATACGAATTAGAGATTCTTGTAATATTTTATGTTGGATATATTTTACTATTCTTATAGAAATTACATTTTCATTTCTCTTTTGATTACCACTCGAATAAAAAAATGTAAAATCACTTTTTAAATATTATAGGAAATAACACTAGAATATAATTTTAATAAATTTATGTAAATTAAATTAAGTCGTTATATAAAATAATTCCACTTCAACCTTCAGACGTTGCTTACCCTCACTCGTATTTTCTCTTATTAGCTGTCTTAAAAAGAAAGAGGCTCTCAATTGGACTAAACTTTTTTTATGTAAAGTATGTTACGCGACATCTTCGTAGTTTAAATATATGCGTAGAAGAAATTCCACCCCAAAGGGAAAATTGAAGGATAATTATTTTTAATGTTACTATTTGAGACAATCCACTTGTTGCCAGAATGTGTTAATTTTTAATGCACTCAGGAGTCTAAAAATTTTACTCAAAATACGACATTAAATAACTAAAACAATTAAAGTAATTTCTATACATTGATAGCTTTTTAAATCGGCGCAGTGCAGTGTGGTGATGGTTATATCCACTACGTTACGTCCCGTGGGTGTCGTAAAAGACGTCAGAAGGAAAGTGAAATAGAAGACGGCCAGCAGCATGTTTTTGATGATAACAACTCAAAATAAAAACAAATTGCGGTTGCCGGGCCGTCTGCCAAGCGTGCCAACTATGGCAAAATCCTCATGCCATGCATGCCATACGGCAATCCATGGGAAAAGCCTATGTTTAGAAATGGACTTTTATAGGATTTTATAGGTAATTGATGGATGGATGTAAGTCGGGGCTTTAATTATTTCATGTGAAAATTATTTTGTTGATTTTAGTTATTTTATTATGGAAATTAAAATTGTTAAATACAAACACAAATAATAAATAGAAACAAACTTAATATTCAAAGCAGTCAATAATGCTCTGAATGAATGGTAACTACTCTACATCGCATCGTAAATTCATATTGTTATTGAGATATGATGAGTTACAATCGACATTAACTTGGAGTTTTTAACTTTTACTAATTTCCTTTGATTACTAGAATAAATTTTAAATGAACATATACGTATTTCCGAATATCATTATACGGCGACAAAATGTCGTGAATAAAACCCCCAAGTAGAAAGTGACACGATTTATCATACGAAAATGTTGAAACGAATCGTAATTGAAAAAGAGCACCCCACGAATTGCAGTTTTCACTTGCATCATTATTTAATTTATGACAGAAAGTTACCACGGTCATATAAGTATTACATATTGGTGTCCTCAGAGTAATTTACGTATGTTACATACATTACTCTAAGTTGGTATCATTCAAACATGTTATTATTTGATACCAATTTATTGATTTTTTGATATTGTTTTATTGGTTTGATACCAACCAACAGGTGGTGTCAAAATTAGCCGGTCAAGATTAAAAAGGCAAAATAGCGCAATAAAATTAGAAATCTTAACTAAACAATACCACAGTATAATAAAAACATATGGATTTATAGGCTGTGACAATACTTTTCGTTTCCAACTGCACTCAAAGGGTCCGATAAAAAATAAAACACTTAAGTGTCCACCCTAAATTATGCAACAAAAACCCAGCCTTTCCGAAAATTTCTTTGTGTCCGCCGCTTACTATAAATTGTAGCGAGCTATATAACGTACTTTAGAGTTTTAGAGGAGAGCTTTAAGCAAGAGAGCGGGGACGTCTTTGATGTGAAATAAAAGGTATCATTGTCTCCGCTTCGGCGACGTGCTTTCAACTTTTCTCTTTGAAGTTAATCAAATGAGCGGCGTGGCTCGGTTTGCATCTAAAACTATATTAACAAACTCTGCTTGACTTCGCATCACTGATTTGACGTGTATACGTGAAACGTTCTAAAACTATAAAACGAAAAATGTAGGTATCGTCTTCTAATTGAAGTGTTCAGCTTATGTATGTTTCGTAACTAAATAGAAAGAGATCAAAGCGGTCGGTTCTACTTTGAAGTAGTGTTAGATGAGTAGCCGCGGTCCGACAGCGGAAGTTTCAATTTTTTATGCAAATTACAATATCATCTAGTTGAGGTTGCGAGTCGAGTCCACTCAATGATAATAAAAGTCATCATCGATAAAAATAATGTGTAATTTTTGTTCCATAACATGTTAACGTGTGGGTTTTGTATTATACATAAAATATATATATATATATATATATATATATATATATATATAATATATGAAAGCACCTTTCTAGTAATATCTCCGACAGGAGATTGAAAGTAGCGTACATTTACCTATATAAAAATTAATTGCTGTCCATTCGTCTTGTAAAAACTCTAAAATGGCTTGACCTATTTTGATGATTTTTTTTTGGCTGAGTTGGAGTGGAATCCCTGGATAGAGTAAAAACTCAACTGGACCCGGGAGGCGGCGCTGTTGTCGAGAACCAGAAACAAAGCTGAGGTGGTTCGTCAGTATAATATACATAGATTAGATTAAAAAAGAGCAAACTGCTTAAATTCCTTGCTATATCTATACTATCTATGCTATACCATGATATTGACTTTGTTAATACTGTGCTATCGGTGTCCCTTGTGATGAATAATGAAACTATCATACGATATGATCATTATTTTTAGCCATAATATCATGAAATAACCGTGCGTTTGGTTACCCTTATCGGCAAACGGTCTCCATTAATTGAGAAGTTCATGAAATTCACTGATCATGTTCAGATCTTGAAGTATGTATACCTGTATACAAAATGCTAAGCATTGATGTAATTTTTCCATAAACACAGGCTTACATAACATAGAAGTGGTGTAAGGAAAAATATATAAAATGCCGCACTGAAATACTATCACTACATGAGACTGGTGATGGGGCGCAGCATTCCAGTGCATGGATCTTACCAACTCGCCTGTCCCGGGGTGGCTGTCGGAAACTTTTTCAAGAAACACGTTATCTATTAATGCATCGTTATGTAATAAGCTAATAAGGCACTTTGCCTTGTTATTTAGAATTCCGTGGTGGGAATATTATAGAGGACGCTAATATCTATTGGTGGTGACAACAGTGCCATCTACCGGGTCCAATCGATCGATTAGATCATCCACTCAAACACACACAAATTTTCATCAAAATCTGCATCAGAAATGCAATGTTAGGAGAAATATGCTTGATGTGCGCGCCTAATGAAGCTGGACAGTCGATAGGTACTCCAGCGAGTAGTACTGACTGAGGGTGGAAAAATCATCCAAACGTTTATCCACATATTTTCAGACTAGATAAGGACGAGGTGAAGGATAAAACAAGGTTATTCGCTTTTCGCTCACCAATTATGCAAATTCTTTCAGTAAGGCTCGTGCCAACTGGCCCATTCTTGGAAAGACATATGTGTCTAGCTGTAGACTTAAAAATGCTGTTGATATACTATTGTATAAAAATCTACAGCAAAAAGTTAGTAGGTACTAGAATAAAAATTTCTCGGCTTGACTAATTAAGTACAACGTGAGAATAATAAGTAATAACCGCATTAAATGTTTATTAATAATTAATATAAGTAATCAAGCTTTGAACATTATTTTAAGCAATAAATTAATTTAAATTTTTGTTTCCTACATTTAGAATAAATTCCCATATCACCTATTGTTAGGTACATTCATTCAAAAACATTTGCACATAGCACAAAATTGTAAACATTGCGAGGTTCAAGGTTATTTGTGATATAAATAAAAACAAAATTTTCTCCTCACGTGCAAGGAGAATTTGTAAATAATCCGAAACAGAATACTAACTGCAAAATTATAATTATTATTCTTTAGAAATTGCTACTAGTTTCAATTCAATAAAAATTAAATTAGAGAATTCGAATATAATAGAATGCAATCGAGCTAAAATTGTTAATTTATTTGGCATATATAAATTTTTACTTACTGCTAAATTTCTTGTATCCATTTCTAAACTTGTTGCGCCACCACTTGACAAAGTGGTGCGCCATGGGGGCGTCCGCGGCGGGTGCCGGAGCTCTCAACGTTTCGTAGCACGTCATGCGCTGCGCTCACGCACGCATCACGGGTACTTCAAAAGAACCGCTTTTATGTAATTCCACTATAATAGATTACTAATCACTAAACACTAAAACAATCACAACACTGCACGATTAAGCTTTCTCTCAATGTAAAAACAAACCCCCTGACCCAGTTGTTCGCGTGAATGTTAGCTCAAGAGCGTAAGCGCACGACCATCCCTCGCGCATATAATCAGATGACTGACTGACTGAACTGAACTGAACTGACTGATGGATGGAGCGGAATGGAATGAAAAGGGAAGGGGAGCGCGGGATAGCGCGGGCGGGTCGGCGCGGCACGCTAGCTCACCGTACCGCAGGGCTGTCTGTATTTTATAATTGAATACAAAATGAATAAAATTATAGATCTTATTTTCTTTCGTATTCTGTTTGCATAACAAATTGGCTTATATAATTGAATATACAAAAAATAACTTAAAAGTAAGCAAAGTATTAAGACATCGCTTTTCTATTGCTTTCCCTCTATAAGTTCTATGTTCGCTAATGTTTACGTTATTTAAAACAATCCGAAATGATATTATTTAGTTTATTTCTATACAAGGCAAGGCCAAATGATCAAAAAATTATAATTTTATTTGTTAAGTATAGATTTTTTATAAGCAGTTTTATTTGATTTGTCTACGATTTTATTGATTATAATAGCCACAACCCACTAACTAGCCATAGCGCAACAGCGGTTTCAAATATAAGTTGCCCATATTGGCAGCCCTACCGTGCCGCCATGGACGGCGCTCTCGGAGGCTGACTGGCCTCGTGACATAGACTAATAATAATAAAATCTATAAATAGACAGTGCAGTTCATTGAATTAAATTAAACCCTATTTTAAGAATGGAAATCATATGGTTGAGTGTTTACAATTACAACACAAAAATCTAGCAAAGATTATACTAACTGAAAACTAATTAAATAATTGTTTTTCTATATTATTAATTACCCGACAAAAATGTATGCACTCCTGAAATAGGTGTCGCTTAGAAAAAATTACGTCCATTGAAAATTATAATAATTAAAAACAAGATAAAAAATATGTTTTAATTATTAAAATAATGTTCCTTGTAAATTATGTTTGATAAGATTTCATTCAATAATGCAAGTACTATTAGGTACCAAGTATTTATAATCAAATAATTAGGGTTAGTACTTTGCTACTCGGTGCCTACGTTTTACTAATTTTTAGTCGACTCCAAAAAAGGAGACGATTCTCAATTCGACTGTGCGTTCTCTTTTTTACCTATATAATATAATATAATATAACATAAGCTACGCGATATCTTCGTCATTGGTTAAACCGATTTTAATTATTCATTTATATTAAATAAGTTGTACTTCAGATGTCGTAAGTAATATACATTTAAAGAAAAAATTGCACCCATAACGATGGGGAAAATAATGGATTCAGTATTTAATGTGGGTAGTGGCTACTTAACTATTTAGTTTATTAGATTATAATTTTAGAGCATTATAGTTGAAGTTGTTAACTTGAGCTTGTGATAACTCAAAAGGGTCAAAAACCTTAACTTTTAATAAAAAATAATGATTCATACGGGGCGGGGGGACGGAACAGTATTTGTGTGAAAACAAAAACATGTTATGGGTGCTGTAATCACAAACGTGGGGATAAAAATTAGAATTATTTTATTTTAATTAAAAATTAAAAGAATTTTACAAAGTAATACAAAAATCCCCAGCTTTCATGATTAAACAAGCTGGCATTATAAAATAAACCTGAAAAAAAAATCACCTACGAGCCTGATGGGCACATAAGGTACGATTCGATACACGTACGATACTCCGCTAAGATTCTAATTCTATATATGTACTTATTCTGTATCCGTAATAATTATATGTCTGTATCTGTATTTTTATCTTTATTGTGTTATTTTTATCTTTTTCTACAGTTATCTATCTTACACTTCTAATCAACAAGCATAAAATTTAACTTTCAAATAAAATTAAAAGCTGACTTCAAAGAACTAAAATGGTAATAATTTCACATTCTATAGTCGGAGCATTAATTCTTCTATGAACTTTGTTAAGCTTATCATAGCGTAGATTTCAGAAATTGAAATTATTTAATTCTCTTTAGTTCTTTGAAGTCAGCTTTAATTTTTATTCAAAATTTTTTATATAGATTACTGTGACCAAAGATAAAAATATATTAAAATCAAGCTTGTAGTGGATATCGGCTTGTCTAATAAGTAATAACAAATAAACAATGCTACGTAAATGCTCATGAAATCTTTCATGGTGCCTAGATATTAAAAGTTCCTAAGGTAAGTTACTTGTAGTATTTCATAGTAGTTCTGGGAAATTACCTCGGATATATTGTTTTTCTTGCAGGGATTAAATTACACGGATTCACAGATTTATACGGTTTTAGTCCAAGAAGGTGTGTGTTATGCCGTGCAAGGAACAAGTATAAAATTTAATTAACTATGTACTTTAATTTATTTAAAGCAAAAATAAGAAACCTTTATTCTTTGCAAACACTTTATCTATGTAAAATCTTTGTGTGGACCTTTTTAAAATTACACACTAGATTATTCTTCAAAAAGAAAAAAAACCTAAAATTGTTAGTCGTGACTCGTGACTCCTATAGTAACTGTTATGTTTATCTACCATGAAATACTTTTATGTACTGCCTTACCGTTATCCGTTACTTTTCTCCCAATTTATAATAGTATACTGGTAACTTAAGAAAACGCCAACCGAATACTTTCTATTTTAATATTTTGCGTTGCGAAGCCAAAAGACCACGTTAACTCAAGCAGCGCTTATGAAAAATCTTTCAAATTTAATTATCCGTTTGAACAATTGAGAAGAAAATGATAAAAGGTGAGAAAGCCCTCTTATATCCATAACCTTAAAATAAATACATTTCAATATGAATAGTAATTTTGTGACTTAAGTTTTATCGGTATTTTTTTTTATTTAACTAAAGTACCTAGTACTACTGTTACGGCTCTAGGTACAAGCCCTTCTGAGCCTATAATTTATTTCAGAATTTTCTTTTTATATATTTTTTCTTCACAATATGCTGATGCGTCACATTGCGAAGTTTTTGGGAGATTTTGACGACAGCTCAACCCAGCGGACTGTTAATGACGACAGCCACTAAGTTCATAAGGCGCCCAAGTGATTAAATCAACTTGAGGTTTATATCAACATCAAAGCACTTGTTTCGACGTTTTCTCTAATAGCTTACACGCGCACACACTTATTTCACAAAATCACATCACTTTTACGAATTAACCACTACAAGTAATTACTTCAAACCATTATTCAAGCGAAAAAACAGGAGCTATTAGTCCGTCGTCGGCAAAGTTCCCGCCAAAACTCCCAGTTTTATCGATATTATATATCAATGTTACTATGACTTTATTTAATTCATAATATTATGGATTGTTTGGTTTGTTAGATAATGTCACACTATTATTAATTTTGTGATACCTTTCTTCCTCCGATCTTGTCGGTTTAGTGTAAAGCACTTGATGTAATTTTGTTTTACAGGCCTACGGTCTTATATTAACTATGTGTTAATATTTTAAATATTATACTTTTAATCTTATAGTACTAAGTAGTTACTGCAAGCAATAAGAATTAACATTCCAGGTGATTCATTCGTACGGTTGCACTTATTTGATGACGAAAGAGGCAAATTCTCGTTTGAATAAGTTTAAGCCTCACTAATCTGTTATCATTATCACTTAGCATTAAACTAAAGTTGGATTTTTCCGGGAATAAACTTTGGATTTTAAATGCAGGGATATTATAATAATTCTTACATAGCCAGCCATTTTTGTAGGTAAATGTTGATTGAATTATATTCCTTCTTTAGTACATAAGCATATATAGTGTTGCTGACTTTAATAATGAGATAATGATATTTATCAGATTATGGGACAATTTTGTCGTGAATGATTCACGACAAAATTGTATGTATGTATGTTCTAAAGCTATGTTATTTTATGTGTCATTTACAACATGTTTTAATACTGTGTGCACAGAATAAATAAGAGTACTACGATGTGAGGTTAAAGTTGCATAATATGTACAAATAATTATGTGCTTATTATGTATGTTATAAGATAATAATGTAGGAAGTAATATATTTCTGTTTATTAATTATCGCATTTGACGAAATCACTAAGTGAACCGGTAGACCATTTGGGGACTTTTTGAACACAGTGTTGCATCTTTAGGATTCGTAAAACGAATACGTCGAAATTTTTGATTAATCTTTGAGAATAAATGGAAATCGCAAGGTGCTAGACAGGACTGTAAGACGAACCGAATATCTCATTATTTCTGCATCTGCCGTAGTTAAAAAAATTGATGACACTGTTGATAGGGACCTAATTTAGGGGACTGCTGCCGACTATTTTCGAGATCAGGGCAAACAATACCAATCTGCGGTTATTGAGACTTTATCTTCCCCTGTAGTTATCACGTACCCTCCTTCCAAAAAAAATAAGTGTTATCAATTTTCTTTCACCTCCTTCTTGATTTTGGAATTGTTTGAATGGTCAGATTGCCTTTAGGGATCAGATTCATATAAATATATAACTGTGCCGTGTAGTCTTGGTTTAAGAGAACCTATTATTCGCTTTTCGTACCGTGGGTATCGTTCGTATGGTGTCTATGGGAAATACCAGAAAAATGTAATGTTTTCCGAAAATAGTGATATAAGCATCTCGTTTACATTAGACTTAGAATTAGCAGACCGGCGACGAGCAGAAGCGTCAGTGTGCGAGACGTCTGGTACAACGATCGTAAATTCCAGGCGGATAATTGTGAAGATTAAAGCAAAATCTTCCTAAACGGGAGTACCCATGTCCAGTAGCAGGCTTTGACCGCTCGATAGAAGGAGAAGAAGAAAATATCCATCTTTTATTCAACCTGTAACGATGTCAAATATTACATTGAAGTCTTCTCCGTGCTACTTTTTTAGTATTTCGT